TAACATGCAATTAATCAATTAATTTTAAATGTTAGTTTATGCTTCATAAAGTAGGATATGCAGAAATCAAATACCATTTTGGACTAAAAAATGACTATTACACAAAGTATAAAATACAAAATATATGACTGAGAGGTGAATATTCTACAAGTTTTTATTAGAGTGATTTACTAACCAAATTAAATACTCAAAAATATAAGTTACAAAAATGTAGTATCCACTATTTTATTTACTCATATTCTCCCATACTTGATACTTCTACTCTGTCAGTCTTTCTTCCCATCAACTACTTCTCCATATTTTCTTTCAATTCCAACATTCTTCTGGAAAGCATTCATAACTCTAGTCTCCTTTCACCATTCCTATCTGTTTTCTACTATTGCAATCTAACTAGTTCTTGTGAAGACACAGCCCTGCCCTGCATACTTGCCTTCGACTTGCTGAAAGGTAAGTTGGGCAGAGGTATTCCCATAGTTTGCATTTTAGTGAGTGGATAGTAACTGTGCAATTGCTTTAAAAACACACATACATAAAATCAACAAAGCAATACTATTTTAAAACCTCCCAAACTAGGAAAATGAATGGGGAACTTCATGGAGGTGTTGGCCAATAAAGTAAACTAGAATTAATTTGGCAAAATTCTTGAATATAGTTAATTAGAATAAAGTTCAAGCTTCCTGAGTTGTCTAAATTATTCCCTCCCTAACTATTCTAATCTTGAGAGCCAAGCAAGCACAAGGTACTCCTTGACTACATAAAAATTATATGTTTTGGCTGTAATATTTTATGGTTTTCATAATACTTATTATAAATTGATTTTTCTTTAATAATATAGATTATAAACCAGTTTTTCTGTTGCTAAGGCAACAGGAGTGTTAAATTACTACATAACCATGAATATAACAATCAGTACTAAAACTAATATTTACTATAATTATTTACACATGTACTACATGTTCAATAGCTTTGCAAATATTTTTTACTTGACTAACCAAAGACTTCTTTCCAATCAATTCTATGATTTTCTAAAACAAAATTTCTAAAGCTCTTTGAGTAAACTATTACATTCCAAGATACTCAACAAAATATACTTAAAGCTTTGTCTAATTCCCAAGGAATTTAGTTACATATTAAACTGCAGGAATATTATCAATTCAGTTTCTTGTTCTTGGCTTGATTCAAGGAATAAACACGGCATCCCTGATAATATACCAGCTTGTTAAAGAAGACACTTGGATTGAGTAATGTGTAAAACAAGTTCAGATATGGGAACCATAAAAAATTTACTATAAAATTCAATTATTAAGAACCTCACCACTTTGTACGTATCTGTTCTGCATGCTTTTCTCCCTGAAAACGTTAGGACTCCTTGCCAGGATGGCCTGCAACAAGACTGGTATGTCGCCTTCTGGATCATCACTGCCAAGGTTATCTTTCAA